CCGTATTATTTTCGATATTTCTGTAGGTCAAGATAAAGGGAAAAAAAATTTGTTAAATATAACGCTTCGCGTAAGATTATCTGAAAAGAATTCGTTGCTTACGGTGCCGTATAGGTTGTCCAAGTGATCGATTCTGTTTCTTGTTGATAACATGCATATAAGAATCCACCATTGTCACCATCGTCATACATACTCTTGATGATTCTACTGTCCGTACATACATCCTTAAATTGAATTTCACTATCAAACAAAATAAATTAATTAAACTTGACCAATAAACAAATAAAAAAAAAATTATCACTTCCTTGATGACTTACTCAGTTGTTTCGCCTTCCCAATTTACAATTTTACCACAAATCGAACCGTTGCAAGAATATGTAATAAGAATATAGTCTCTAGATATTGCATAAACTACTATACTATCTGATACCACCTCAATTTCATCGATTGGTGTTTCGGGAGTTCCTCCTCCGCCACCTCCGGGCGTATTTGGCGTTCCACCACCGCCTCCTCCTCCTGGAGTATTTGGCGTTCCACCACCACCACCTCCTCCTGGAGTATTTGGCGTTCCACCACCACCACCTCCTCCTGGAGTATTTGGCGTTCCACCACCACCTCCTCCTGGAGTATTTGGCGTTCCACCACCGCCTCCTCCTCCTGGAGTATTTGGAGTTCCACCACCACCTCCTCCTCCTGGAGTATTTGGAGTTCCACCACCACCTCCTCCTCCGGGTGTGTTTGGAGTTCCTCCTCCGCCACCTGGTTCATTTGGCATTTTTCCAGGCGAACCACATTTTGAATCATGATCACCATATTTACAATCTGAAGGTTTGTTTTCTTGCTTTTTACATTTCTTTTTTTTATTTGTATTTTTATGTGAGTCATCATCATCATCATCATCATCATCATCAATATTTTCACAATCGTGGTTTTTATGATGTTTTTTATGAAATGAAACACCAACAGGATTACCCTTACAAAAGCTTTCTTGAGGTATACCAGCAAAATCCAAGGTTTCTACGCTACCATCAAGTTTTAATAATCTTAAGTAAACTATTTCATCATTACATTCTTCGAAATATAGACTTTTTTTAGCTAAACGAAAACAGATAGCACCATTTGTAATATATGAATCAGCTTGAACGATCTTTAAACCCGATATATTTTCTTCATGCGTTACATATGATACTTCAGAAGATTGAGAATTTGTTATATTTACTATAAAAAATAAAAGAACTAACGTTTTTAATGAAAATATTGGAGGACCTCTCTCTTTATAATTATACATCACCATTGATTAATCATGAGAATCTTGATATCTTGATTAATGAAGGTTGAAATTATTTTTTTTTACCTAGAAAACTTTTAAAAAATATTTATCAAAAAATTTTAACGTAACGGATTTTTTTTTAATAGATTTAATAATTATTTAGTTAATTCTGATAGGGGGTAATTTTCGAAACAAAAACAAGAAACATAAGAATTTTTTTTTATGATAAATTCTAGTTTATATATAATGATCAAATTTCGTATAAATAAATAAATAAATTTATCTCGTATGATGGCGCTTCTTCTAGTTTGACCTATAAAGAAAAATGGAGGTACAATTACGTGGGTAACGATTTGTTTTCTTTCATATCCGAAAAAAAAACACCTCTAAATAGGAAATTTTTTTTATTGGAATGTTTTTGAATTCTGACACAAAACGATATAAATAAATAAATAAAAACTATCGGAAACAGGTAAAAAGGCTATATTTAAAACCTGTAGGGATCATCATCTTGCATTTCCAATAAATTTGTATGATAAAGAAAAAACGTGGTTTTTTTATATGAACATTTACATTGATTTAAATAATGAAATAGTTCTTTTTATAAAACTGTTTCTTAGATCTCTTATTAAAATAATGAGATTTCTCATTTTTTAGTTTTTTTTTTTTTCTTTGTTTTATTTTTATTTTTATTTTTTTTAAAAAAAAAAATGGTTTGCACCACAACAGTTCGGTTATATCAAGTTTAGATTCGGGTTTAAAATTAAATGTTAGGAAGATATTGTAAAATATCAGTCCTGGATCATAAAAAAAAAGAATAAACTCGAGAATACTTTTATGACAATGCGAGCATTGCTTGCCTTTTGTTCGGGAAAAACCTTAAAATTAAAACGAACTTTATAATTGTTTTTAAGCCACTATCGTAATTTTTTTTTTGAAATTCCCGAAATCACATGATAATTTCCTTTCAAGAATTTTCTCCTTATGGTCACCTTTCTCCATATAAAGTTGAAACTTAAAATACATCTAAACCAAACCGTAAAACTAACGTACCATCTTAGTTAATGTTAAATGAAGTCGTCTTTTATGGTATAATTTATTTATTTATTTCGTAACCTTTATGATTTCTGATAGGAACTAACCAAATGATTCCAAAAATGATTCTTGGAAAATATACATTATAAACCATGTATCAAGATTGAATGCTTGTCTTTGGTCATCGAATTCGACTCTAGACGTGCATTCAAAATGATAACATTGTCTGATTGAATTTATGATTGTGATTCAAAAAGATCTTTTTTTTTTTGATGCAACATAAATATGTCAGCCATAATGTTATAGTTTTCAGCTTTTCGTATGCAAAAGGATTTCAATGAAGCCTAGCTTATATATTCTTAATCCAAAAAAATATTATCTAATAGAAACTTCCATACATAGGAATAATCAAAAATAAATCAACCGATTTTTTTATTCTGGAACGCATTTTTTTTTAATAAACATTTCCCCTGCATTTTTGCCCGTGTTTCATACAAAGAAAACTGCAACGTTACATAAAAAATAAATGGTAATGTAAATCTATGAATATCTCTGCGCATTACCCAACAAACAAATTTAGAATAGTATGATACTTCATCTCAAAAAAAAAAAAAAAAAAAAAAAAAAATAAATAATTTTAAAAAAAATAAAAAAAATAAAAAAAAAAAAAAAAAAAACAAAAAAAAAAAAAAATAAAAAAAAAAAAAAAAAAAAAAAAAAAAATATTAAA